CTGGAGTGGTGGTGATGAGTATTCGGTCTTTTGGTTTGGACCCTTGGGTTTGTTGTCATTGTTGTTTTTAGTATTTTCTCTCTGTTATTCAGATTGGGTAATTTCTGTTCATTGATCTTTAATTTCACAGATTCTTTTATCTGTCATCTCAGGCTGCAGTCTACGTCTACCCAATTTTTATCGGTTATTGTATTTCTAAGTTCAAAAATTTCCGGATACTTTATTGTGTCTTCTGTATCTCTGCTAAGACTTTGTGGTTTTTAATTTAATTCCAGCATGTCCATAATTGCTTGTGGAAATACTTTTATGATGGTGCTTTAGAATACTTGTCCAGTAATTCCATCAGTTTCATCCTGGTTTTGGCATTTGCTTCTATTTTTTATTTAAGAAGAGATTTTCCTGCTTCTTGGCATGGCGATTCTTCATTGTATCCTGGACATTTTGGGTATTGAGACTCTGAATCTTGTTTTTCTGTTTTAGCAGAGCTTTCCCCGACATGGTGCCCCAGGAGTAAGAAGCTATTTCCTCTTGGGGCGCCTGGGTGGCTCAGTGGGTTAACCATCTGATTCTTAATTCGGCTCAGGCCGTGATCTCAGGGTGGTGCGATGAAGCCCCACGTTGGGCTCCATGATGGGCGATGAGACTGCTTGAGATTCTCTGTCTCCCTCCCCCACTCTCTCTCTTTCTCTCTTAAAGGAAAGAGAGAAAGAAGGGAAGGAGAAGGGAAGCTGATTCCTCTTACTGCCCTGTGAGGATGAGAGCCCCAATTGCCCACGTGACACTTGTTTGTGCCTTGGGATAGGAACAGACAACTGTTGCTGCTGGCTGGGAGTGGGATTTCAAGCTTCCTCATAACTGTGCCCTAGCTGAGAGAATTGGGAGGTTCTTGTTACCGTCCCCCTCCACTGAGCCAGTAAGGTTTCCCTTGTTACTGATGGCTCTTCATGTGGCCTTCCCTACCACCATCCCACTTAGTGGAAGGAGTCCTACTGCAACCAGGTAAGGGTGGATGTCGAGGCTCCTCATGTACTTTTTCTGACACTGCTCCAGTTGGGGAAAGCACACCACAGTATAGCCAACTGAGGGTGGACATCCATGCCCCCCTTTTTTAGTCGAAGTATGGTTGATACACAATGCTCTGTTAATTTCAGATGTACAACATAGTGATTTGACAAATTAATGTTATACTCACCACAAGTGTAGCTTCCATCTGTGTTGGTATTACAATACCATTGACCATATTCCCTATGCTGTACCTTTTCTCTCCATGATTTATTTGTTCCATACTGGAAGCCTGTATCACCCACTCCCTTTCATCCATTTTGCCCCTCCCCCAACCCTCTCCCCTCTGGCAGCCATCAGTTCTCTGTATTTATGGGTCTGTTTCTGCTTTTTGTTTGTTCGTTTGCTTAGTTTTTTAGGTTCTGCATATAAGTGAAGTCATGTAGTGTTTGTCTTTCTCTGTCTTATTTCACTTAGCATTAATACCCTCTAGCTCCATCCACATGCTTGCGAAAGGCAAGACTTCATTCTTTTTTGTGGCTGAGTAATATTCCAGTGTGTGTGTGTGTGTGTGTGTGTGTGTGTGTGTGTGTGTGTGTGTGTCACATCTTCATTATCCATCTAGGGAGACCCTTGGGCTACCTCCGTATTTTGGATATTGTAAATAATGCTGCAGTAGAGATAGGGGTGTAGATATCTTTATCACTAGTGTTTTTATTTTCTTTGGGTAAATACCCAGGAGTGGAATTATTGGATCATATGGTAATTCTGTTTTTAATTTTTGAGGAACCTCCTTACTGTTTTCCAGAGTGGCTTTACCAGTTTGCATTCCCATCAACAGTGCAAGAGGGTTCACCTTTCTCTGCATCCTCACCAACACCTGTTGTCTCCTGTGTTGTTAATATTAGCCATTCAGACTGGTGTGAGGTGATATCTCAATGTGGTTTTCATTTGTATTTCCCTGATGATGAGTGATGTTGAGATCTTTTCATGTGTCTTTTGGCCACATGGATGTCTTCTTTGGGAAAAGGCCTATTCAGATCCTCTGCCCATTTTTTAATTGGATTGTTCATTTGTTTTCGTGATGAATTGTATAAGTTCTTTATATATTTTGGATATTAACCTCTTATCAGATGAATCATTTGCCAGTAAATTTTCCCATTCAGTAGATTGCCTTTTTGTTTTGTCAGTGATTTCCTTTGCTGTGCAGAAGCTTTTAATTTTGATGTAGTCCCAACAGTTTGTTTTCACTTTTCTTTCCATTGCCTAAAGAGACATATCCATAAATATGTTACCAAGGTGGATGTCAAGGCAATTTTACTGTATATGTTTTCTTTTAGGAGTTTTATGGATTCAAGTCTCACATTTAATCCATTAATCCATTTTGAGCTAATTTTTGTGTATGGTGAAAGAAAGAGTCCTATTTCATTCTTTTGCATGTGGCTGTCTAATTTTCACACCACCATTTGTTGAAGAGACTGTCCTTTCCTTGTTGTATATTCTTGCCTCCTTCGTCATAGATTAATTGACAGTGTAAGTGTGGGTGTATTTCTGGGCTCTCTGTTGTATTCCTTTGATCGGTGTGTCTGCTTTTGTGTCAGTAATGTGTACTGTTATGATTACTACAATTTGGTAGTATATCCTGAAATCTGGGATTCTGATACCTCTACCTCCAGCTTTGTTCTTCTTTCTCAAGATCACTTTGGCTAGTTGAGGTCTTTTGTGGTTCCATACAAATTTTAGTATTTTTCTAGTTCTGTGGAAAATGCTCTTGGTATTTTGATAGGGAGTGCGTTAAATCTGTTGATTGCTTTGGGAATTATAGACATTTTCACAGTATTAATTATTCCGGTCCATGAGCATAGTACGTATTTCCATTTGCTTGTGTCATCTTTGTTTGTTTGTTTGTTTGTTTTTAATCAAGGTCTGATAGTTTTCAGAGTACAAGTCTTTCATTTCCTTGGTTAAATTTATCCCTAAGGTATTTTGTTATTTTTAGTACATTCGTAAATGTGATTTTTTTTTCTAAATTTCTCTTGATGCCACTTTGTTATGGGTGTTCATATTCTTAAACTACTTCTTGCTTCAGTTTTGGAAGGTTGGGTGTTTTGAGTATTTTGTCTATTTCATATAAGTTGTCCCATTTATTGGTGTAAAGTTGGGTATGATATCCCCTAGAAGGCTTTCCAGGGGATCTATGGTGATGCCTCCCTTTTTATTCCTGATATTGATAATGTGCATTTTCTTTGCTTTATTCTTTTCTTTTAAGATTTTATTTATTTATTTGACAGAGAGAGAAAGGGCACAAGCAGGGGGAGCAGCAGAGGGAGAGGGAGAAGCAGCCTCCCCACAGAGCAAGGAGCCCGATGCGGGGGATCCCCGGACCGTGGGATCATGACCTGAGCCAAAGGCAGACGCTTAACCGACTGAACCTCCCAGGCACCCCTCTTTGTTTTATTCTCGTTCATGTCTTGTAAGGGTTTAATTTTTAAAAATTACTTCAAAGAACCAACTTTTGGCTTTGTTAATATTTTATTTTTTCTGTTATCAGTTTCATTGATTTCTGCTTTTCCGTTCTACTCTGGGTTTATCACTTTTCGCAACAGAAGCTTAAATCACTGATTATAAACCTTTCTGAGAAGTTTTCAGATACATGCATTGAGAAGTATAAATTTTCCTCGTGACTGCTCTATTTGCATCCTGCCATTTCCTGCATATTGTTTTGTTTAATTCACTTCAGATATTGTCCAATTCCCTTTATTTAGAATTGTGCTTAATCTCCAAATATTTGAGGACTTTCTATTTGTCTTTTGTCATTAATTTCAGATTTCATTTCTTTGGGGACAGATGGTATACTTGAAATTTATTGAGACGTGTTATACTCTTTTCTTAAAGTTTTGAATATACTTTAAAAGGGTGTGTATTCAGCGGTTGGATGATGTTTCCATAAATATCAGTCAGGCTGAGTGGATTAAATAGTGTTTATATTCTTACTCATCATTTTTGTCTTCTTGCTGTGTTAATTATGGAGAGAAATTTGTTGAAATCTACAACTGTGATTGTCTATTTCTCCTTTTAGTTTTGTTAATTTTTCCTTAATGAATTTTGAAATTGTGTTAGATATACATGTTTAGTATTAAGTCTTTTTGTCAAATTGACTCTCTTATTATTATGTATTGTCTGTCTTTATCCCTGGTAACACTCCTGTCTTAGAGTTTATTTTCGGCACAATATGTCTTTTTTCCAGTCCCTTTGCTTTTGATGTTTCTGTGTCCTTATATTTCAGTGTCTCTTATAAACAAGACATAGCTGTGTCTTGGTGGTTTTTTTCTTTAATCCAGACTGAGAGTCTGCCTTTAAATTAGAGGATTTAGTCTATATACATTTAGTATAATTACTAATATGGTTGAGTCTATCCACCATCTTTATATTTATGTTCTGTCGATACCATTTGATCATTGTTCTTTGCTTTTCTTTTCCTGCTTCCTTTTTTTTTTTTTTTTTTTTTTTGCTACAAGGTAGATCTCTTTGTATTCGTGGGTATTTTACAGTGGTGCCTTCCACTGTGGTAGCCACTAGCCACCTGTACTTAAGTTGAAAATTCAGTCCCTTTTTATATCAGCCACATTCTGGATTAACAGTAGCCACACATGCTTGTTACCACATTGGAAAGGAGAGATTACTGCAGAAAGTTCCAGATTGAGGTCAGGATTTATTTTGAGTCAGAATTACCCAGGGTCCAATGTGAAAAGGGCATCGTTCTAGTCAGAAGACATGTGTTCATGTTTTGTGTTTACTACTGTTGGGCTTTGTGTCCATAGGCCTATGAGATCCTGCTCTTAGCCTCAGTTTTCTTCTCTAAAACACACGGATAGTAATTCCTGCTCTTCCGCTTCACGGAGTGCTTGTGGGAAAGAACACTACAAAATGGTTAACAGTTTTCAGGAAAACATTAAAACTCAGTTCACTGTGTTTCTGTGTTTTGTTTGGTCTTTTAGGTTGCTGACGGAGCTGGAGTCCCCTTCTTGGTGGCCCTTTAGCTCCAAGCTTTGGAAGATGCCAGCAGAAACAAAGTCCAAGGGGGGCACCTCAACGGCTAGTCCCAAAGCTCTTGGAAAAGAAGGGGTAGTGGTCCGAATTCCTGCTGTTATCTCCCAGGGAACAGCATCTCATGTTAAAGCAGGAAGTGTTACCATCCTCGTGTCTGGGTTGGAAATCCATGACTCGAGTTCTTTGCTCATGCACAGATTTGAAAGAGAAGATATAGACGACATTGTGGTTCACACACCTTATGAAATTAGCATCCTCCAACGGTTCATCGGGAAGCCAGACATAGCTTATCACCTGATATCCGCCAAGATGCCCGAGGCTGTCCCAATTTTGGAAGTGCAGTTCAGCAAGAAGATGGAGTTGTTAGAAGGCGGCTTGACACCCGGAAGTGCCAGCACGTCTTCCCCAGCAGAGAAGGGCTGCTATGTCTGGCAGGTGGGTGAGCGCACGTCGGTCTCGAGGGGCGCGGCCTGTGGTACACCGTTAATGTGCTGCGTCGCTGATAGCATCTGCTGGTTCTGTGCACCAGTGCAGACTGTCCGTTTGTTTGTAAATGAGCACACTTCAGACCGTTTTCCTCAGTACCTGCGACCTCAGACTGTGTGAGTCCCGGAGCACGGGTATTCACACACTGGAGGGCTGTGTGGGTTTCCCCTGAGCTCAGCAAGGCTCGGTGGCACTTTCAGAACAGAGGAAGGCTCCACGGTAGGTGATTCTCTCTTTCCTCTGTGTGACTCAGGGCACCTAGCTGCCCACCCTGGTGGGTGTCCAGTCCCTCCACCCCTGACCTTGGCATCAGTCTGGGTCATCCCAGCCCGCCTTCCAGGGACATGTTTAGGAATCAGAATCTCTGAAAACTGCAGCATAGTTTTTGTGGGTTTGCAGGCCTCCGCTGTTGGTGAGGCATGCTGTCCTCCGAGAGTCCCTGGGGAGCACGGATTTGGGCATGGCCCCAGGGGTCGCAAGGGTCCCAGGTCGCAGGCCCAGCCACAGCCTCGCCCACAGCAGCCTGGGGTCATCTGACTTCTCAGATTTGCCGTCCTGATGCTATCCGGTGGCATCGTGCTGGTGTCTTTATTTTCATGTCTGATTGATTGTGACGTGGAGCATCTGACGCTCCTTATTTGCTTTTGGGCTTCACATGTTTCTCTGTGGATTGCCTATTCTGTGGTTTTTGTTTTTTTATTCTGCTGTGCTGTTTGTTTAGTCCATGTTGTAGGTATGCATCCTTGTTGGCTTTAGAAGCTACCACCTCTGCCAGACTGTCATTCTCCGTTACAGAATTCCTTAATTGGGTAAATTCCCCTTAAGTTTGTTTCTGCACCCATCTTAAGAATCCCAAAGTCATAAAATACCTTATTTCCCATAGGTGATCTTATGTCTGTGTTACTGTGATTTTTCTAACAGGCTAGTAGTCTTTCCTTATTGACTTTGGTTGCTGGATGTCTGTTACAATAAGAGATATGTTTGCTTTTTTTGTTCTGAAGTGATTGATTTCAGTGCTAATATGTAACCTGGTTCCCTAACACAAGAATATTTTGATGTTACTCTACATGGCTTCATGTTTCAAAAGAAATTTACCTGAAAATAGATCTGTCCCATAAGCACCAAAATTTTGGAAGTGTTAATGTAAACAGGTAATTTTTTGGCGTTTCCAGATTTTTCTTTGGCCCTTCTCAAGGCAGGACTGGGAAGCCCGTAAAGGGGCCGAAAAGGGTGGGCAGTACCAGCGAGCCCAAGACCCTGATGAGGGAGGCGTCAGGCCAGGCCGTCGGTGCCCCCACCCTGCGGTTTGCCCCTGGGGGGCTGGGGCTGGGCAGTGAGGGGACCTGGGGCTGTTAGGCCTGACACAGAGCACCTTCAGCCATTGATTCTGCTGATGGAGAACTCCCCGTGCCAGGCACAGTGCCGGGCCCCCACAGTCCCTCTTCTCATGGAGCTCTACGACATTCATGGGTTTTCTGTGTACCTGGTGGTTTTGGAGAGAGTGTCGCGTGCCAGGTGCGGGATGCCAGCACACTCCATCCTGGGGAGAAGAGGCTTGCTGGGCCTGCTCTGACCCCGAATGTCCAGGTGCAGACAGGGCTGGAGAGGAGCAGGAAGTGCGTGCCAGGGCCTCTGTGGGCGTGGTCCAGCAGCAGGAGTCTAGGTGAGTGTGGATTCCACAGGGCCCGCCATCAGGAAGGGCACAGGTCAAGGCTGTTGACCACAGGCTGCACGGCTTCCTCCTCAGGGAAGCCTCACATAAAGTCAGCTCGTGCTGGGCCTTCACCACATGCACAGACACGTTCTCAGCAGCACCTAGATTCAGGATGTGTGGCCTCGCCTGTCAGTCACAGACAGTGTGTGTGTGGAAGGAGTGGGACCACCTCCACGATGACAGATGGGTGTTCATCCTGGTGCTCACTTTTGCCTCTGGGGTGGAGGGGTTCCCACAGCATGTCTGCATCTGCATGGAGCGAGAGGTGCCATGCTCCCTCGGTGAGGCCACCCTGCCCCGGGAGTGGATGAGGGCGCAGGTGATGAGGAGGGGAGGCAGGGGGGAGGCCAGCACGTGGGCTTGGGAGCAGAACAGCAGGACCACGTCTGGCTTGCTGGGGGCTCCACGGGAGGCCTGGGCGGGCCCTCTCTGTCACCTCTGATGTTGTTTCCAGCACCTGTGTTTTCACTGTCCCACAGTGGAAAATGCAGAAGCGGTGGGGGTGGAAACCATGACTTGACATCTCAGAAATTTACCCCATCCTCCAGAAGCCGTGTTGGTAGATTCGTGGCCAGCAGGGGTCAGTGTCACCACAGGACCGGGTTTGCCTTGAGTCAGTGTGGGGAAGAACTTTCCAGAGACCTCTGCAGTCCTGTGCGGTGTAGGTGGCCCGGGCAGCGACTGGCCCCAGGAGTCTCCTGGGCTTCAGGGGCTGGGAATGACACAGGTGGCCTGCGTTCACCCTGGGGAAGAGCAGTGGAAAATGGCTGTTTTCTTGCACAGCATCTTTAGGATACCCTTTACATCTTAGCGTGGTTTCAGACTTGAGGAAGAGCTGGGAGGAGAGTCCCCCATGGCTGCCATCCTCACTGTCACAGCTGACGAGCCTGTCTGAGCTCTGTCTAGATCCCCTCGTGCTTGCCATTGCAGGACACCGTCTGGAGTCCACCATGATGGGGGGTATCTCCCTGGGCTCTCCTTACTCTGAAGGTCTCGACGGCGCGTAGGAGGAGTGCTGAGGTTTTGTACACCGTCTCGTGATTGCACTCTTGTCTCATGTTGTCTCATGGTCCTGGGGTGATGGTTTATGAAGAAGACTTCAGAGCATGGCCCATGCTTAGCAATTGATGGTATTTTGGGTAATTTTTGTCTTTGTTGTTTGCCAACGGCCACGTTTGAGAGAAGCCTTCTCTGACCACATCATTTAAGAGACAACACTCGCCCTCGGGTGCTGTTGCCCTCTGATTGGCTGCTGTGCTCCCACACTGGGACAAGTACTGCATCTGGACGGGACGCAACTTGTCTCTTGATGACCACATCTCCAGCAGCCAGAACAGGCCCAGGGATCCAGGAGCATACTCATCTGCATGAAATAGTACACATCTGGGACCCCGACGTCACCATGCCCAGGCCGCAGTCCTTGAGCCTGACACTGCCCCCTGACCGACGGCCTCAACTCAGACCACTGAGGCCATTCACAGGACCAGCACATCAGGCCTGTCATGCCCCTAAGCTCTAAGCCTAACCCCAGGTTGGCTGTTGAGCATCTCTTCCCAGAGCCTTGCTCCAAAGCACCAGGTATCCGGGACACCCAAGCAGTATCAAGGGATTCGGGCTGCCACCCGGAAGGAAACCGCACCACTGTGAACTCTGGAAAGCACTCAGAGCAGAACTCTGAACGCCCATCCCGGCGAAACTGCACTTTCTGCACCACCTGGCGGCAAACCCTGAGCCTGACTCCCAACCTGATCCAACACTCAAGACACACTGCTGATCCCAGCTTACCACAGTTCACACAGACCAGGAGTGCCGTGAACCTGGGCCCTAACCCTAACCCTAAACCTCACGTGGCTTCTGAGAGGTCTCTCCCTAGGTCCCTGGCTCCATGCCCCAGGGATTTGCGCCACCTGAGCAATACCAGGGGACACAGACTGACACCACAAAGTAAAATGTGCCATTTGTCACTTCTGAAAGCATTGAGAGTAGGAGTGCTCTGCCTGCCGTGCCCCTAGGCCCTAACCCCAACCCTAGGTGGGCTCCTGAGTGCCTTGTTCCCGTAGGTCTCGCTCCAGAGCCCCACGGACAGGGAACACCTAACTAATACCAGAGGACTCAGCTTGCCACCCAGAAAGAAACCCCACCGGTTGGAACCCCGGAAAGGATTCACAGCAGGAGAGCGCTGCATATCCACCCCAGTGAACCCACACTTTTAGCGGTCCCCTGGCCGAAAAGAGGAGCAAGACACACTGACAAAAGACACTCACGCTGACCCACACCCTCGACCCTCACCCCGGGAACCTCGATGCAGCGCTGGAACATCAGGCGTCCCGTGCCCCTATGTCCTAACCCTCACCCTGGGTTGGCTGCTTAGGGGTCAGTCCCCAGAACCTGGCTCCAAAGCCCCAAAGATTCAGGACACCCGAGCAATATCGAGGGTCTCAGGCAGCCACCCGGAAGGAAAACTCACCATAGGGAACTCGGGAAAGCATTCAGAGCAGAACTCTGAATGCCCATCCCAAGGAATGCACAAATTTTGAGCCCTCTGGCGGCCAACCCTGAGCCTGACACTCAGCCTGACCCACGCCCTCAAGACAAACCTCCCAGAAGGAAACCGCACCATTGGGAACTCAGGGCAAAGCTTTCCGAGTAGGAGTAGCCTGCGTGCCCATCTGAGCGAAATGCCACTTTCAAAGGCCCCCTGCCAGCAAACCCTGAGCCTGACACTCACCCTGACCCACACTCCCAACTCGGATCCCCCGCACCCCAAAGCTTGCCCCAGCGTGGGCAGATCAGGGCTCCAATGACCCTAGGCCCTAAGTCTATCGCTAGGGTGGCTTCTAAGTTTCTGGATCCAGAAGCCTGGCTCCAAAGCCCCAGGGATGGCAGTAACTGAGCAACATCAGAGGACTCAAATGCAAAAATTAATTCAAGCACACTACTTTCAACTCCGGAAAGTGTTCAGAACACGAGAAATCTGAATGCCCATCCTAGCCAAAGCACAAATTTGTCGCCCCCTGGCCACCAACCCTGAAACTGACGCTCAACCTGACCCTTGCCCTCAAGAGAAACCCCACAGAGCAGGCTACAGCCCTTGCACTTCAGGCCTGCCATGCCCCTAGGCCCTCACCATGACCCTACGGAGGCTTCTGAAGGGTCTGTCCCCCCAGGGGCCTGGCTCCAAAACCCTAGGAACTGGGGACACCTGACCAGTGCCAGAGGACTCAGCCTGCCATTA